GTGTAGACAGTTGCCAAGTTTTTCCGAAAAAGCGGCTGATTTTCCGGGAAAACTGGCCAGTCTGGACACAGCCAGGTATTTTTTAACACACCAGCGTTTGGTTCTAAAGGAGTTTAAACCATTGCCACTTAGAAACTAAGAGACTGGAAGAAGGTGTAAATTACACCAACCGAGACTCCCGTACGCTTATTTACACACCAGCTCTGAATTTGAATCAGGATCTAATTTATCAGATAAAATGTATTGTCACAACATATGTGGACTACCACCACAAGCATTATCATGTGTTGTCTTTCAGAAGGTCCAAGGATTATAATGTTATAAACACATTTTTGTCCTTCAGTTAAGCCACTTAGGAAGTTGATACTGTACAGTGCTTAACATGAGATAATCATACAGGCCTAATGAAGAGACATTAGCATATGATAGAAATAGCAAGCAGAAGCCTGGTTTACATGCTATAGGAATGCCTCAAATTCAAGCAAAAATTGCAAATGTCATAAAATACAACATCGCAATAATTCAAAAATTATAACATTAAAGATTATAAATGATGTGGCAATAAAGTTAAGTAAAAGAGCTAGTGCTATATGTCAATATAACTGCAGCCCCATATACAGTGTAGTTTAAAATGAAGAAGGAAGTATTATCTTTTCCACATGTGTGAATGTCTAGCACTTCTTTTCTCAGTATTCAACTGATCACAGGGAAGGCTTATATAGTGGTATACATGCTATCTTTATAAGTCTGAAAACACATCAGTGATAACAATTCAGTTTTGAAAAAAAAAAAGCACCTTACCCATATAAGAGATGAACTGAAGAGAAATTTTTCCCTGCTTTGGTTTTGGCTTCATTTTAGATATGCTGATTCCATCATCATGCATTTCTGCTGAAGGTTTGTAGGAAATATTTATCACAGCAAGCAATTTCCTGCAGTGTGTTTCTGAAGTTTTATGGATGGCTGAACCAGTTCAGGAAAAAGGAGTAGAAAGAGAGGAAGGGGGGAGAAAAAAGAGGAAACAGATGTTTTCAGTTCTTACTTTGTTTTTAGTGTCTGCTGAGACTGCCAAGATGGGACCCACTTAGTAGTTATGAAGCTAGTTATTGTGCTGTGGACTACTGTCTACTAGAAAATGAGTTAAAGAATGAATAGATAACACTAGAGAAGTGTGACAGCTAAAGCTCAAACTCTGATGAGCAGCCTACTTCACAAAGAGATGGTTATGGAACACCTTAAACACATGGCTCTGCAGCCCTAAGGAACTAAGCGTAGAATTGCATTTCTGACCATCTTTGCTAATGTCCATTGAAGGACTTATTCTCCATGAACAGTGCATGTTACCTAAAAATACCTTGAATGGAAAGCCTTTGATTTAATGGTGAATTTAGAAATGGATACACATTACAATTCAAATTCTAGTCCCTTCGTTGTCTTCAAGATTTGTTCCTATAGGTCAAGGTTCCCTCTCATCTGTGCAGCAGCACAGCCCTGCAGCTGCTTAATGAGCCATGTCCTGCCAGGGGCTCAGAACTCGCACACAGAGTTGCCTGGTGGGGGGAGACACACTTCTCCCTCAGTGACAGCAGCAGCTCCCTCAGTGACAGCAGAGATTCGCTGATGAGGACAGAGCAGCGAATCTCTCTCAGCCAGTAGGGACACATCCCCTCCCTACCAGATGGGCGAGACTAGTTGCTCAGTCCTCAGCAGGGAACTGTTGCTGTCACTGAGGTAAACGTGCTCCTTCCCCCAGCCAGGTAGCTCTTTGTGAGAGTACTGAGTACCTGGCCGGGCAGGGCTCATTAAGTAGCTGCTGTTCTGTGCTGCCGCATAGCTTAGAAGGCAACTTGCATAGTTATATATATTCACACACACATTTTTATCGCTTTCTATTAAAATCCAATATTTTATTTTATAATAAAATATTTTTTATGTTATTATTATTTTATTTTATTAAAACTATATTGTTTTTAAAAGACATTTCCAATATCTTCAATATCTATGAACTCTTTGTATTGCAGGTGAATGGAAAAGACGATCTAATGGAAGAACACATAAAATGAGATTGTCCCTTTAAAACCACGTGGAACAATGCAAGTGGCATATCTTCTCCACTTCCATGAGGCACCTCCCATTTCATTGTGTCTTTGACAGAAGTAGAACAGACTGGAGTGATAGAGCTCCTGGGATATGTAGGCAAAAGTGTAACCATTAGCTTAACAGGAAGTCCTATAAATATTCTATTAGACTAGGATGTTCCACAATGTTGTGAGCCCTGGGAATGAAGTAAAGATACAAGTAAACTAATTATGCATAGGAAGTGCTCTGTAGCAAATTCAGAAAGTGAAGACCAAAGGAAACACTGGGCCTGATTTTCCTTTTACTAAATTGCTGTAAAGTACATAAGAACATAAGAACATAGTACGAATATTATTATGGATTCTGGTGGAGTTACCTGAATGTAAATCTTGGATAGGTAAGAAGAGAAACCACGTCCATTCAGCTGATAAAAAAAACATGTTATTCAATACTTATTCTGACTAGTTAAAAATATGGGCTGCAGGATGCAGATGTGAATATAGACTGAGGATCTCTCATTTGCATTTCCTCCATGTCTCAAATGTCAAGCCCAATCCTGAGAGTTTCCAAAAAGCAAAATTCCCACCCTGACATAAATGGGTGGTCAGCACACTTTAGGATGAATCCAAATTATTAGTGTAACACCAGTGATGAAATCCTGGCCTGATTTATATCGCTGGAAACTATGCCACTGGATTCAGTGGACTCAGTATTTTACCCAAGGGCTGCGTCTAGAATGGCAAGTTTTTCCACAAAAGCATTTGCTTTTGCAGAAAAATTTGCCAGCTGTCTACACTGGCCACTTGAATTTCCACAAGAACACTGACGATCTCATGTAAGATTGTCAGTGTTCTTGCGGAAATGCTATGCTGCTCGCGTTCGGGCAAAAGCCTTATTGCACAAATGCTTTTGCTCAAGAGGGCCAGCGTAGACAACGCGGTATTGTTTTGCACAAAAAAGCCCCGATTGCGAAAATGGCGATCGGGGCTTTCTTGCACAAAACAGCGTCTAGACTGGCACTGACACTTTTCTGCCAAAAGTGCTTTTGCGGAAAAGCGTCCGTGCCAATCTAGATGCTCTTTTCCGCAAATGCTTTTAACGGAAAAACTTTTCCGTTAAAAATATTAGCAGAAAATCATGCCAGTCTAGACGTAGCCAAGGTGTCTAATCATGCAAAACTTAGTCACACAATTCAGACATATAATCCCATCAAAAAATAATTACTGTTGTATTTTGCCTTTGTGACCGTTTGTATAATGGTATTGTTCTAAGTCTATAAAGCCCCATTACAAAAGAGACTATTATTAAAATTATGGTTCATGAAGAATTTTTGAGTTTTCATAATTTGTTTTCAGTTTGCATTGGAATGCAAGCACACTTTGGTGACAAAACCTGGGAGAGAGAGGGAGAAGTTCTCTTGTTTTGATCAGAAATTCCATTTTTTGACCTGCAACACTTTCTTGATGAAAATTGTATCAAAACAGATACATTTCCATGCAAACTATTGGTTGTGACAAATTGGCTTTATGAAAAAATGTTGGGTTGAAAATGCTGTACAGATCAGAAATGTTGGCTCACGAAACCCCTGACAGCCATAACAAAACAGCAGGATTATTTTATTTCATATGAGTATCTCTCTCTAGAAGTCTAATAAACAAATAAAGTACATTTTCAAAATGTCACTCAAGAAGTAAAATGATTAATTTGGTTAATGAATTGTGGGATTTATTCACTTTTGTCTGAGATCATTGTATCTGAGATGCCAAAGGAAAATGGACTCCTTGGTCTTTAACCAAATCTCACGGTGAGAAATGTTTCTCTTCCAATTCACTGTATGTCTTTTTCTCCTGTTCTTTTCTGTGTGTTGATAAGAATTGATGAGTACATATCCCAACGCTAGCTAAGAATTAATTATGATTTTGTAAAAGCAGAGGCAAGAGACACAAATTGGTTGGGGGTATTGTGCTCTCCTTTCCTAGAAAGCTTCAATCCAAATAGTTACCAGATCAGAAAATGCCGTGATACCTTTGCTCCAATTAAATAATACCTTTCTCCACAAGTAAGACTGCTGAAATCATTAACTCACAGCACTGCTAAGTCGGCTAACCCTCTGAAGCTCGTAGTCTGAGTTACTACTCAGCCTGACTGAGGTGGTAACAAACTATCCTTATGGATATAAAGAATCTTTTGTTAAATAAAGTCAAGTTGAAAAATATAGCTAGAGAAACTGGCAGAATTTTAGTCTGTTTTTTTTCCCCATGAAATTCTGTTTGAACTAGAAATAATGAATTGAGTTAAGAAAGAGAAAATGTAAACTGAATAGTACGAAAGAAATCTGATTGGGAGTAGTTGGTCAGACAAAGTGGTACAAATCTCACTGTTTGTGATGTTCTAAACAAGATTAGATAAAGCTTTTGTTTGTGTTGGCAAGAATAATCTTGACTCAATGGAGTAGGATAGTCATGAGGATGGGCAATGAGAGCCCTTTGGCTCAGTCTACACTGCATGCTTATTTCAAAATAACAGAGTGCGTGTTTACACAGAAAGCCCATTATTTTGAAATAATTTTGAAATAACAGGCTTCTTACTCTGACTTCTGTAACCCTCATTTCACAAGGAATAAGGGAAGTCAAAAGGAAGAGTACTTCCTTTGACTTCCTGCTGTGTAGACAGTGCCAAAAACTGAGTTACTTTGACTTCAGCTACGCAATTAACATAGCTGAAGTTGCGTACCTTAACTTGACTTTAGTCCACAATGTAAACATACCCTTACTTATCTAATATTCCACAGTGTAAACATACCCTTACTTATCTAATATCTATTATTCCTGTCCTTTTGTATACATCACTCTCCTAGGAAATATGAATAGGTCTTTGTGTACACAGTGGTGGGAGACTGTAGAATAAGGCCCAGTCATATGTAACCCACACACCTAGTGTGGTTACTGAGCAATGAAAGTGGTATCTAGACCACAGCAACAGTTAAGATCAAGAGACCTCTACAGTAGGGGCTAGGCGCTACCTGGCTTTTCGCTTAGAAGGTAGAAGCTTCTATACTCCACTTCAGAAGTCCTAGGTTCAAATCCCCCTGGTGGTGGTTACACGTGTACACTCTTTACTCATACCTTCAGAATGAAATGGAGAAAAATTTTCACTGTAACTGTAGTTCTGAATGGAACATAGGTCTGAATGGAAGAATCCAATCTGCATACTTCAGACATGTTCAGATCCTATTCCCCTGGATAAGTCCCCATCAAAATTTCATTGAGCCCCTTATTCTGGACACAGCACATGGCTATCTCATCCACAGATACCCTTTTTCAGTTTAGGAAAGTTGATATTTAATCATGTATAATAAATATCACCTTGATCTTATTATCACCTGGATCTCTTAATTACTGTTCTGTTTCCAGAGGTTTATGCTACTGTGACAGGGCAGTCTCGCCCCGCACCGTGACTCCCACCGAGCAGGCGTTGCTCGGCATCCAGCCAGAGGCAGCCTGGCGGTGCGCGGCATGCTCCTGTGCCGCGCCGGGT